TATTATTCTAAATACGACATTAATTATTTTGCCATTTGACATTAAACTGTGATTATAATCACAAATATTTTAATTGCATTTCATACTATTATTATTTCATGTGTTCACACCTTTGACCTAATTCCCTCACCGGATATAATTTCTTAAAAAAACCATCTATATATATACGATTGAACAGCTTGATAATAAATTCGTTGAAAAGAGTCTCTTCGCTGAATGTTGTGTCCTGAATGCCACAATGGGAACTATTAAATTATACAGATATGCTTGCTTTCTTGGTTACCATTTATGGTGGTATCAAGCAGATCAGATATTGTGGTTTTCAAAGGAAACTACGCTGAAATATTAACACTCGAACTGTATAGATGGCAAGTTACTACTAACCATTTTGCATAATATTGTGAATTTGTTTGGATTTTTAGTGCATCCCCTATCTACTGCAGATTAAACAACCTACAGTAGTAGTGACAAGGTAGGAAAGTTCCAATTAAGCGTCGAATTTTCGAATGAAAAAATCGATATATTTAAATTCAGTAAATTACAACCAAATATCTCTAATCTTGTTCGTCTTACAAAGTCACATATCGAAAATGTTAAACAAACGTTACAAGGATTACTTGTTCTTCATACCGATGCGTCACTTATTTTATCTGAATTATCAGTAATATGGCGCATGAAATTTCTTCAGTTTTGTAAAGACGTTACTCAGAAAACAAAGATTAATATACAAAATAAGTTGAAGAGTTCAACTGATGATCGAAACCCCGTAGATTTCTTTCCGGTGAATCCTGATAAGTATGTTGCAAATCTTTCTGATATTACTCTATCTACTCATCAGAAAGAAGCTTTATCCCTTGGACTCAAATTTTGTGTCCCTCGCACGCAATTTACGGATTTAGCCATCCATGCTGAATTTGAAAACTTATATGACCAACTCAAACCTCTTGCCGCAACATCCGATGAAGATCGGGGTTGGTTTAAGGCCAAGATGGTGGATATAGCTCATCAGTTTTTAAACAACAACCCAAAGGAGAAAAGTATTTTAAATTCCCAGCATTTCAAAGCCTTGAAAGAGCTACGGGAAAATTCTAATATATAATTATTACGAAACCTGATAAAGGTTCTGGAGTCGTCATTATGAATAAAAGTGACTACAAATCTAAAATGATGTCTATTCTTGATGATAAAAGCAAATTTAGCCGTGATCCCTCCTCAGAAGATATTCAGTTGTTGCAGGGCACAGTGACAGCTAATCTACTGAAGCTTCATGGCCTAAATGCTATAAGTAAAGATAAATTTGACTCATTAAAACCATCAGATTGTAAATTCCCGCATATGTATGGCTTGCCGAAAATACATAAACCCAATAATCCTCTGTGTCCTATATTGTCAATGTGCGAATCCCCAACACATAAACTTGCTAAATGGTTAGTAGAATTATTCCATCCAGTCAAAACACAATTCTTAAGTATGTGTTAAAAGATACATTTGAATTGGTTAATTTTCTTGACGATATTAACATTTTGAGTTAGAATATGTACTCTTTTGATGTAAACTCGTTATTCACTAATGCTCCTTTGCTCAAAACAGTTGATATTTTGTGTGATTACATTTCCACAAACAATTTCCCAATCCCGTTTCCTATATCTTATTTGAGGGATTTATTACTTCTATGTACTAACAATGTTAGGTTTACATTTGAAGGCGATTGTTTCCGCCAAGTTGATGGTGTTTCTATGGGAAGTCCGTTAGGGTCTCTTTTACCAGATATCTGTACGTCCTACATTGACAGTTTATCGGAGGATTTAATCGAAAATGTGCCACTTTATAGAAGGTATGTAGATGATATTGTAATCATCAGTGATAAGTCTTGTTCTGCGACCTCAATTTTAAATCGAATGAATGAAGTTCAGAACAGCATATCACTTACATCTCTCTGTAGAAGAGGAAGATAATTGTTTATCTTTCCTAGACATATTGCTTAGTCGACGGCTTGATGGATCAATAAAACGATCTATTTATAGAAAACCTACCTGGACAGGACAGTATCTTAATTATCACAGTTTCTGCCCTGTTCGGTACAAAAGAGCCTTAGTGAGTGAGGTGTCTCTTCAGTAGAATCCAACGAATATGCACTGAAGACACACTTGAAGAAGAAGAAAGAAAGTTGACACAAACTCTGGTTGATAACAATTATCCAGACAAGTTCATCAGGAGATATAGCGTAGTCAGAATACCAAGACCCACTCTCCAACTCGCCCCTAAGAAAGACGTGTACATCAAGCTACCCTATATGGGGCATTATAGCAGCTTAATGAATAGACAAAGACTGAATGCTGCTGTCAAAATGACTTTTTATTCAGCTATTATCATAATAACTGAGAATGTGAAGCCAATATGTCCATCCATATAAGCCCATTGAACATGCGAAAAATGATGTCACATCCCACTGTATTTACCGATGCGAATGTACGTGTGGCCACACATACATAGGGAGGACTCATGGATCTCTGCAGTAAGGGCTGACTTCAGAGCATATTCCTAAATGGCTCCAGAAGCAAATAGAATCTTCAGAACCCATTAATGGTGAGAACAGGAGTTCTAGCTCCTCTGTTGTGAAACATATTATAGAGACAGGACATAAAATTGACGTTAACACATCTTTTAAACCTATCTATCTATGAAACGTGTTTGGGGTGTATCCTACAGTTTGTGGAAGCCCTAGCAATTAGAAAGTTTAAACCACCTTTATGCGTTCAAAGCAACAATTCGTCATCACATTAAACCTTCCTTGGTAAACTTTGTTTTGTTTTGATACCTTAGCAGATGTACTATTACCTCTGCTATTTGGTTTAGGGATCTTCATTGTTATTTTGACCTTGAATATGTCCTTTGAACTTGACCTAAGTAGTCTATTTTTTCTCACCTCTTACCTCTTTATTAATTTCACACATGTATATTCCTATTACAAGTCCGTATCAGATTGTTCGAAATATGTTGCGCAAATAACATTACACGATTCAGACAAATTACGTCTTCTTATTGCTTTATCTAAATTCATAAAGGGAACTAATTATTTTTGTTTTAAAATATTTAAAAGAAACAAAATGACAACTAATCACTTTGTATTGTTAACTATTTGTTATAAACGAAATTATATATAAACTGATTCATTGTGTCACATTGTGAGTATAATTCACATTTGCGAAATTCATTCAAAAAAAATCAATAATCGTATTTCAGATTAAATTATGATATTGAAATATACTAACTAATCAGCCCAAGATAAGTTTACTGACTACCTAAGTGTATCGATTTTTTTTCTGACATTTTTGAACGGAATTAATGCAGAGTGATTTGTATTCAGAAAGAATGAAAGTTATCAGTTTAAAAGTGGATAGTATATTGTCTAACCTGATAGACATCTTAAAAGAAACTTGATTTAGCCTATTGATTTCATTCAAAATGACTCAGAATAGAAAGTCAAGGAAAATATTGAAAAAAAATGGAAACTGAGGTAGCAAAAGCACTTCTAAACAAACCAGAAACAAATCAAACCCCTATAAACGAACTCATTCAAATTAATCTGATGTTCGCTAGTGACTGACTGGCTACAAGAAGAATTTGCCTGTAGTTCTAGTGAGACGTGTGAGATCAGTGGGGGGCCACTGGGTAGGGAATACTCACCAGCAATAACACTGGCTGGTGCCAGTCCCGTCAAAATCATGATTTGGGCTGGCCACTGAGTTAAGTCCCAGTGGCTGAATGGTCTACGGGCTTGACTTGTAACTGGAAGGTCCTGGGTGGGTCGAACCCCTCCCTGCGGTAGGTAGGTGCATACTGCCGATGAATCTCAAACTACGGCAAAACAGACATCCAGTACTTTATGCTGGTTCTCAGTGGCTCTCTAATCTATGTCAATCCCTGATGAAACTTGATACAGACAGTCTCTACTTGCAGTAGCTCATTGGTTTAGGTGACGGTTGTCATGGCTACCATGATGTTCGTCTTACTTTCTGTCATTGTCTCTATACACATAACAATTTATATTTGTTAAGTTAAATATAGTCATCATATGGTGTCGCTAGGGTGGGAGAGAGAGAGAGGGAGAGTAACAAGTTCATATAAACCTTCCACTACATTTTCAAATCCAAAAAAATCTATGCCTTGTTGTTATAGAGTTAAAGGCAATCTGTAGGAAGTTCAGTTTAACGAAAGTTGTGTGTTTGTTGGTACACCCTAGCAAAGAGTATTTGCGTGCTTGGAGGAACTCATAGATGCATACTAACTTTTCTAACTTATAGGTATTCATAGGAAATTATAATATAACACGGCTTATTCATTCAGTTACACTGATTCAAAAGTTTCGTATAATTAATATTGAAACATAAATTATCATCACTCCTCCAAGAAATATTTTTATCAGTTTGAGATTAGAGAGAGAATTGGTGTCAGTAATGTATAAATGGACAACAAAGACACAAGTTACAAGAGATTTGATTTGTCAATTAATGATATATTAAATTCTTTCAGTAAAATATTAGGCGAGTCAAGGACATCGTTAGTCACAGCACAAGTGAACTCTCTCTTACAATATATGCGTCTTTGTAGATATCTACACGGTTACACTTTATTCATAACAAAAGGAAAGAAATATTTCCATCATAAATAAAAGTAAAGTTGTCACTAAAACTGAATTACTTCAAACACTTATAATTCAATACGTATGCTTTTTTTAGATTTTGTTACTTGTAAATATTTGTTGACATTTTACTTTACCTTCTACAGATCAGTACGTATCCTTTTATTAATATACATTCAATTAATTTAGGCACCTCTCATCTAAGTGATAATGAATGCCTGAGTAATTTAAAAATAATAACTAATCATATGAATATAATGCCTAATGTTCCTTTGCAACATAAATAAGACTGAGAAGAATAGAATTCCAAAATTGTAAAATTTATGTATTTAGGTTGTGAATACTAACATTCAGAAAACACATAGTTTATAGCCATAACATATGGAAAAGAGTTCACAACCTACTTAGATAACCACTGAAGTTTTTATATATTTTCTAGTTCGTCTCCAGTTACTGATTCCACTGTCTCGAATTTCTTATGCTGAGGATGAGAAGAAAAATTTTTCTCTTTCTCAGGGTAAAATACTGGGACAGTTAAACAAATGAAGTATTTCTTCTCAGAACACAGGTGAACTCCCCATTGTCCAGAACTATAGTCCACTGATATACATCGATGTTCACCAACAACCATTGATGTTAATTCTGGGTTGGGTAAACGTAAAAGACTGAAGTCACTTTTGCTACCATCAGTCCAGTGAAGAACGTAAATGGACCTTAGGAACTCATTCATTGTTTTAGTGACCTGTCCACCAATCCAAAAAGAGTTCTTTTCTTTTTGTGATACCCATTTTATGATGGCAGTATTTTCTGGATAAGAATGTATGGATGCAAGGCTGGTTTGTAGAATTAATCCACCATCCTTAGTCTTTGATAATGCGTGTGCAGACAGGTGATCTGAACTCTTTACATCAATAAAGCTGACCTGATCAGCAGAATCTGAATTCTTTCCAATAGAATTTCTGCAGTAGTCCTCAGCAGCAGAAAAATTAAGTTTGGCTGCTTCATCTCCATGAACAAAGGTAAAGATTCGAGGACCTAGAGCACCTCGACTTTGCTCAATAGCATAGGCAACTTGTAAAAAAATTAGAACTCCTGATAAGTGCACAAACATCGTCTGCTAACAAGTGAACAATGGGCGAAAATGTAGTGAGCATCGCTCACCATAAATATTCTAGAAATAAGGCAACCATAAATTTTCACTTAATTTTAGAAAAGAGTCATAAAAATATTTATCTCTATCTAGACGGCAATGCTAATTCTGTATTTGTCCAAACTAGTGCATGACCTTGGCATTTCGCGGCACTTCAAAATCCTACAACACTACACTAAATGGGTTCCAGTAGTAGTAGTCTTGTTGATGTTTCTAAGGATAAACCACTACAAAAATTTGTTGGACCAGAAGAGTTACCGCCAAACAGTGAATTTTGGAATGATTTTTTATCTTCCTTTGGCTCGTCAAAAAATAACAGGTTTGTCATTGTCTTACTGGGTTTTGATCAAAACTTTCTTATCAGTGCCTTTATGAACTTCGAAGAGACTAGTAGAAGTCTCTTAAGGGATCTTAAAAAGAACAACCCTCAATCACATAATATTCCCAATTTAATCCAGTTCCTCATATCACAGATGTCAGAACTAATGGGCTCCACCAATATGTAAGTTTTACCTAAAAACTAAATGTTTCGTAGATGCGAGGATACTATTTTAACTGTTCAAAATGGGCTTCTTATTCTACGACTCTCAGTAAAATACCTGATGGAGCACACTTCTGAAGCTAGGTTTTTTGCTCATTTCTCTGTAACTTCACCAGAAGGTAACACTACTTTTACTCACCTTTCATGCTGCAGATCCGCATTGTCTATCTGTTATCGAATGTCTGTTTCCTGTTCTTTTCAAGCTTGTAACTAACTTACCCATACAGTAATTTCATTTCAAAACTTGACCTTTCTTTCAGAGACAATACCTACTTATTGCATTGTGAAGCTCACCTCCTGTGTATAGTTTTACTTTCTCGGCAAATGTATAAGGAACTATCGGCTCCCTTGCCACAAGTTTATGTTTCTGTTGTATGGGGAAAGTGGTAAGTTCAAGAAGTCATTTCCTGTATCAATATTTGGAAATTGTTATCCACATCTTTGGAATGATGTCGATCTTCATGTCTGTATACACTGAAGGTGTATAATTTTCAGTTGCCCTTTTCTTTGATATTTTACCCTTAAGATTCAGGTCATGTTTTATATTTTCAAGCACTCAGTTTATGCTATTCAATGAAACCAATGCTTTTTTTGTGTAATAGCATGTGTGTCTACCTCATGGGATAAAAGCAATACTTTTAGGTTAACCCTATTAACTAATCTAAAGAGAAGCAGTAGTTGTGATTGTCTGAAAACCTGTTCATCAGTTTACCTTATTAGCTAGTATGTTGAGTTTCGAAAGGTTCCATACCTGAAGAGTTATTACAACAGATGATGGAATACTTGTTGCCGTCAAGTTATGCATGCTAAGCCACCAGCTTCCTAGACGGGGAATATTAGTTGATATAGGTTTAGGTTAGAAAAGAGTCAGTGGTGGCTAAACTAAAACCTGGTGTTGACCCATGAATTCTTTGACAGTTGGTCTTACCTATGTAGGGAGATGCAGACTCCCTTGTTGAATCTCTCGGCATGCTGATAGCCAATAGATGAAAACTATTAGTGATGTGGTATTAGAATGTTGTCAATGGAGGATATGCATTCACTCTTTGTAGTATCCGATATTCATTGAAACATCTTATTGTTTCATGACACTTTTTTTTCTCCCGTACATTCCCACTCCATATGGTGGTTTTGAATCTTATTTCTCTTTTCTCTACCTTTGTGCGCTACATGAAGAGTGGCAAGTTGAACTGGTTCACGACTGTGCAAAGTTCTGTGTTGAAACTCAAACAGTCATCAGGTTATGCACAAAAGGGCATCATCTCAGTTCGTAACTTTTGCAGATTATGACAACTTAGGGACTTCGTTCACTCTTTTTCTGTGGGGAACTGAGTAGAAGTTCGTTTTGCCTTAATTTGTAGTTCGATCGTAGTCACCAAAGTTACAATATATAAGAACACTGCAACTTTTTGTCCATAGGTGTCTTCGTAGCCTTATTTACGCAGTGGGACTAAAACAAACTGTTAATATAGCTCTTATCATTAGGTAACAGAGTGAAATTTGTTGAGTATGTATGCATTAAATTTCCTGTGAAGTAATTTTAGGAGCTTCCAGGCACTAACTCCACTAGTTTCCCATTCTAAAGTAAATGCATTTATTATGGTTTTCTTTACTCATTTTACTTCGTGTGAGTGAAAATCGAGAATGTTTGGGATGTCTTGTCATATCATTAATTTAAGCTTACTTTAAGATCTGTTGGCAGCTGCGACAACGACCCACCAGCATAGAAGATTGCAGAAATGTGCTACAGCTCTAGTTGTTTTTTATTATTTTTTTCCTTCACGTTCCCCAGTGGAATATAGGGCTTCAAGCTAGTGGCTTGAAGTTTCTGTAGCAGTGTTTATTTTACAGGATGGGGTTGCTAGCCTCATGCCCAACCTTTCCTCCTCACCAGCATTATTTCTGACTTAGCGAGGTAAAGGAGTGCGTCGGCCGGGGATCGAACCCTGGACTATGTGCATGGTGGGCGATCGTCCTAACCGCTGTGCCACTAGTGCGTTGGTGGCATAGCTGTTAGGACGCACTAGCTCTATTTGTCATACTTCGAAAATGCATGTGAAATTGGAGACTAACATAATGATAGTGCAACAGACAAACAGTCTGATTTATGGAACGAATAAACAGTGACTAGTGAAGGTTCTCATCATTGTGAATGATTTTAAGTTGCGTTATCCACATTTTGCAACCACTTATTCTTATTACTATGCTGGAAACCCTTGCCAGTCAGTCTACACTGTTCTGCGTGATTCAGACCAACAGTTACTTGTATTAGTCTAAGCGTTTGAACAGCATCTGTCTTCACACAATAATGAACAATTCAACGGGAAGTTCAGTTCAACTATGTACTCTGTCTACTTATGTCATCTTCTATTTCATAAATGACACACTAACAAACATTCAATTGATTATCCCTGTATCCTTTTTCTCTACATGAATTGTCTTTTCATCCTCCTTATTGTTACTACTTATACTTTCATCAACTAGCAGTCATTGCTTGAGACTTATCAATACTGTTCTGGGTCACAAAGTGTCCGCTTCAACAAACCTGTCATCTATTGTGGTGTCAAACAAGTTACTTACAACTCTAGCATTGATACAAGTTGGGCAATAAATACATCTGATCAAAGCCTTGGAAAGCCAAAATCTTGATATTTATATTGTATCTTTGACACATACACAAAAGTGCTTGTTTAAGGTTAACCTGTTAGAGATGTACATTTTGACTGCATCCCATTTAACAGTTGTTCTGGTGCTGTTGAGCTGGATAAGGATACAGTAAAAAGCAACTGAAAAGAGAGACATTCTTTTGTTATCTCTTTCTACGCATCAGATTGCAGTGTAGGCGCAGTTAAGGATGGGTTCTACCATCAGCTGAATAACCATATCCAAGCGCTGTGACTAGATATCGTTAGTTGTTGGATTGAGCATCTAAGCTGAGAAGACAGTTGTTCAGACACTCGTCAAGAACTAGGCAGTTATAGGTTAAATAATGGAGATAGTTTCTATATCTCTGCTTATAACACAGTTCATTTCTTGCCAGCATAAACTTCTGGCAGGATCATCCTCTTTATACTATATACTATCTCTCTGTCACGTAGTCTCATATAGATTACATGACAATGTGTCGTTTTTGGGAAGTTGTTGGGATAATATGAAGTTCTGGAGGGCAGGAAATACACTACTGAACTATAAATCCAATTCACAGATTACTCTTTTTTGGCTTAATGTCTATGTAATGTAACATGCAAGGACTATGATACCTGCCGATATGCATTAATATTCTCTCTTTATGAGACAGTTTGAAGCCATTAACTGTAGTCCTTCAGTTGTAGTCATCTGTCTGTCTGTCTGTTTTCGACATAGAACTTTGCACATATGTGCGGCAGCCACACCCTCCTTGTAGCACACAAACCAAGAGAAGAAAGTAGGAGAAATCCATAATATAGACAGTAAACAGAGGTGTGAGACAAAGGAATAGTAATAACGAAGAACAAAACAGTTTCATTGGAAATCATAAGTCACAAGGAGTGGATGCATCTGCACCAGCCATTGAGAACGATTTTGAGCCATATCACCAATTGTTTCCAACCATTGGTTTTTACCGTCCCGAGGACCCCAACCAGGAAGCCAGTCTAAACCTTCCTACGTGGCTTAGACTAACTGTTGTAGATTTCATTGACTGGTGAAGCCATGTTTTGGTTTGACCGCCGTTAGCTCTTTTCCAGCCTGACCCTATATCAGCTAACATTGCCCGTCGAGGAAGGCGATGACTAGCCATTGATGCGTAACACATGTCCTAACCATCTCAGTCGATGTAATTTCACAGTCTTGTCGACTGATTTCCCCTCCTTACTTAGCACTCGACGCCTCATATGGGCTAGTAACTTCATTGCTCAAGTAGCAAGTATCGGTATACTTAGCGTCGATGGAGACTATCATGGTAACATGTCTCACTATAGTGTTATAGTCCTTCCTGGTTAAACATTATCACCACAAGGAGTGGAATTACGGTACTGTAATCCAAGTTGTCATATGTATCTACACATCGAGTGGAAGGCAATCAAAGATTTCAGATCTCCATAAAGCCGGTAAAGAAAATTTAAAGCGAATAAGGAGTTGTATCAGTACACGTAAAGATAAAGGCTAACTATGAATACATCTTCACTACTGCTATAGATTCTTGTTTATATCAACTAAATCTTTTTTAACTACAAATCTTTGTCGCATTTATCAAAGTTAAACAGAATTTCTTCTTGGTTGTTCACACCAGTATTTTGGATAGATCAGAATCGGGAAACGGCACTCTCTGCTGTTATTTGAGTGTTACTTAGAACAGATCTTTTTTATGTACTATGATAAGAACCACACTTATCGTGTGAGGGCTGGTGTTAATACCCAGTTGCCTAGGCTGAACTGGGTGAATCGTGACTGGAG